ACCCCCACCTCCACCCCACCTGCCCCGCAGACAGAGGTGTTTAGAAGAGGAAGTGATGAGAAGATACGTTTATTTTCTATTTAAACATAAAAACAGCATTTTAATAACAACTAAAGGTGGCATAGGTACTTTATTATAGTATTTACATTTATGCCTGAGAAACATTATATTGCCCCTTTAAGAAATCTTTGAAACTTTTGTGGTAACAATGTGGAGCTGCCTAAATGGTTGCTGGTACAAAGCACCACCTCTTGACACAAAACTCCTCCCTTAAACTCAGTCTGCAGCTGAGCTCACATCCCACAGAGCATCTTTCCCTTAAATTGTTGGGAAGACGTGCTGAAGTGGGAATATCAGAAATGGTAGGAGTCTCTTAAAGAGACGAAGGCTAATTTCAAGGTGTCTATAATGCAACGTGAAGCATATTTTTGAAATATGCAGCAATTTTATAAGAACAGACTTGATTATGGGATAGAACTGAACTATGTGCCTGAAAATTACATAAAAAGACATTTTCTGTTTTCTCCTTACTGCTCTATGGTTGATGTTATGATGGATAAGGCACTAACTACTGATCACTATTAAACAGAGCACCCATGACCATTCAACTCTTTGAAACCTCATACTATTTGACAGATTTCTCACCTCTTCTTTTCCAGCAAGCTTTGCAGTCGCTGAAGGCCTTGTGCTCGGCTGCTCTAAGTCGGTGATCGGCTTCATCTTCACTTCTGATGAGTGAGTCTGAACAGCTGCTCCCAGTTCTCAGTAATAAAAAAGTCTCCTTATCAAAAGGCAAGACAATCTTCAAATGCTCTCCTGTTTTTCAGAAAAATTGCAGGAATAGTGTCCAACTTGATGAACGCGTATTGTTTCCTTCAGTTTTTTGATGGTCTTGTGGTGAGTCCACCAGCCTGTACAGAACAAATATGGTGCTGTTTTGATGCCAAAAGCGAGTGTTTCTCTCCATCTTAGTGTGTGTGCACAGGAATCTTCCTGGGCACGGGCAAACAGAAGATCCCAGCTGTGGCGAATCTCATTGGCTACTACTGCATCGGGCTTACACTGTGTGTTACTTTTATATTTGTTGTAAAACTCAGAATTTTAGGTAAAGGAAACATATCCATCTGCTTTTATACGATTTCAAAACAAATGAGTTTTGCACACAAAAAACAGTTTTTCAACCGACTACTTTTCTCTGCAGGATTTTGGATCGGACTGCTTATTTGTGTTGTCTTGCAATCCACATTTTATATTATTGTTATCTTCAGGCTCAACTGGAAGACAATGACGGAGGAGGTACACTAATCATCATTCAAAAAAAATGTATTTCATGCATGGCTTCTGCTGCACGTGTTCATCTGCATTTAAAGCACCAGGTTGCAGAAACTAAAGCAGGAAAAACAGACATTTGGAATCACAAAAGAGATTGTTGCTGTTTGATTTTCTTTTTATTCTCAGGCTGTGAAGCGAGCAAAAAAAAAGTCGTACACGATGTTGTTGAGTACGGACGTCCCGTCAGAACTTGTGGATAACGTCCCTAATGGCCAGAACTCAACCAATGAAGTCGTAAGTGTCCTGTTAATAAATTATTTATGAGCAAATATTCAGAAGCTTGTTTTTATACAGCTTCTTACTTTCAGTTGCTCTTCATCTGACTTCATTAAAGTAATAATGTTTTTTTTTCTCAAGTCAGTGGATGGCTACATGTCTGTGATTACTGAGCATGACAGAGACAGTGAGGCGAAAGCTGGATGCAGGATCCAGCAACAGAAAACTGCGCGACTCTCCACCACCCAGCTTATCATCAGACGAGGAGTCACTGTTTTTGCCGCCATGGCTCTTCTCGCTGTGGGAGCAGGAGTGCACATTCTTGTCCCCCTGCCAGAGGCCCACTCTGTAAAGGCCAACTTCACCTCAGACTGGATCAATGCAACTGTTGCTCCTCATCAGTTTCTTTCCACTGCTGAATAGAAGAGACAGCCATTCCTGATACAGTCAGACCAGTGAAACCACTTGATGGAGTCACTACTTACTGTACACTGAAAAAAAAAAAGGATTTTTGGGTGTAGTAACATTTACTTAATTGTTCTTTTAAATTTTACAAAAAAATATCAAAATCTCTGAACTACTATAATTTACTAAATAAGCAATACACATTATATTATAAATCAATTTTACTGTACAAAAAAAGTAAATGCTAATATTATTTTACCAATAATATTTAAGTGCTTTTTCTGGACAGCACATATTAAGTAACTTCTACTCTTCTGGGCTAAAACTGAGGCAGCATGTGCACACAAAGGCTGCTGCTCCTCATTCCCTTGCTTCACTTTTCAAGGAGAAGACAAGACATGGTGCAAATAAAACATAAGTTGTCTGGTTTCCTTTGCTTGAATACATTTGTTGGTGTGCAATAGTTTGATGGCGTAATGTAGGTGATATATGGTTGTCAGGGAACAGGGAATGCATATTGTAGCATTCTGCTGTGTTTGGCTGTTTGTCATGTGACTGCAGAGGAGGATTGTGGGTAGGATTCATGTTTGTTGTTGTTAAATCATTTTAGGGAATTGGTTAACATTGTTCTTTCAGCAATTAGTCTGTTGTGTTACTCTAATTTATGTGTTCATTATTTAACTAGTGTTAAACCGTTCAGCAGAAGTAACCATAAATGAGAGTGGTAATAAGGCCTGTGAGTTTCACTTTGTCTGTGTCGTTCATGAAGAAGAATCCAATAAAGTTCTTTAAAACCACCACCTGGTGGTGAAGTCTTGAACTACAACATGAGCTACACCTGTCTCTGTAGCTGTGAGGTGTCATGCTACAATATTGTGTTTGATGCATGTGCACTGTTATAAAGAACTTATAAGATTTACTTGGAAAAATCCTCATAATAATTTGCATTAATGTTGGTTAAGTAAATTTAAATGCTACAAATTCATGTAACATTTACTCATTGTTGTGGAATACTTATTATGTATCACCTTGACACTGTCCAATTGTTCATATCTTGTGATATCCCTGGACGTCATCATCAAGCTGACCTACTTCATGTACCAGAACGAGGCGGTTCCTGATTGGTTGTTCATTATCACATGATGATAGCTGACAGTATAACATTGCTTGTCCGGCCTATGACAGCCGGGCCCACATCTTACAGACTTCGTGATTCTCTGTTCCATGTTTGCCCATCAATAAATGACTTTATAATCATACCCGGCAAGACTATTTCCTTTCTAACACACTTTCGCCGTGTGTCTGACCATTCTTGCCACGACAGTTTTGGCATCACGACTACGGAAGCTTTCCAGGGACTCGGAGCTG